AAAAAAAAAAAAAAAAAAAAAAAAGACCAAGAATCGAACCCTTCGAAGGTACTGTACTCAAATTTCTCCGGAATAAAATTTTAATAACACTGTACTCTACAAGTCTACAGCACTTACGGGCATTTCCGACGAACAGGGCCAGCGGAACTTCGCCCTTCAAATCGTCAGGCACGCCGATGACGGCACAATCGATGACGTCGTTGTGCTCCAAAACGGCTTCTTCGATGGCGGACGTCGAGAGGCGGTGGCCGGCGACGTTGATGACGTCGTCGTCGCGTGACATGACGCACACGTAGCCATGCTCGTCCTTGAAGCCGGCGTCCATCGTGTCGTAGAATCCCTTCAATATTCGAAGAACATTGACAAAGTCATCATGGATACTCAACTTAAAATAAAAAATATATATAAACAGAAATCCCAGGAAAACCATCCACCGAGTTAGACAGGAGACATTTTTGAAAAATTATATACAGTAACTGACACTGACAGGCTCCATTCTTCTTCTCTCTCCAATTTTGAAAAAAAAAAAGTGCGTGGCGCTTGAGTAAGTACAGTACTCCACTTGGTTTATGAAAATTAAGGTATGCTAATTTCTTCAAACCACTCACATCATCAGTCAAGCATCATTTATATATGATGCCGCCGTGGAACATGAAAGACGTGTATTCCCAGCACCATAACCGAGTTCCAGTTCCACCACCAAGCCAACGTAAAATTTTTTTTTGTTCAAATGAAACTTACAGGATATTCACTGAAATACGTTTTGACAAATCGATCAGGAGATTCATACAAGGTCGTCATGTTGCCGGGCGGCAGAGGTGATTTGATGACGATCCTCCCCATTTCTCCATAATCTGCTTCCGTGCGATCTTGACGCATTATTCTCACTGTTCCATGAAAAAAAAGAACGAAAAAAAAATTGACTTATTTTGCTGAAGATTCCAAACTCCGCCGAAGGGGGTAAAACACAATCATATGGAAGTATAAAGGAATCAAATTGACAAAAGGGCCGCGCTTTATTCGAAGTTTTCGCTGATTCGCCGGGGATCTCGAAGAAATCGTCCATTTTCAAAAAGCGTCAAGTGGGATTTGAATAACAATAACCTTTGCTTTGAAAAGGATTAAATTTTGTTTGCCCAACACCCGACTTACATTCTTTGGTTTCTGTAAACGCGAAAGGCTTTTGAATGGAAATAAGGCAATCTATAGGAGTTCAAAGTAAATTTGCAACTTGATATTTGTAAAAATGCAATTTAAAAGACTATTGAATGAATGTCAGGGTTTTTTATGGAGCAATCTTACACTCATTTAGCAAGTCAAAGTAATTACAATAGTCCAGAATTACAGTGATGCTTTGTATAATACAGAAAAATGGGAATTATTTTGCTTAGTGAACTTGGAATAAAGACATTTTTCCCTTCTCAATTTGAATTTTTTTCCCAGCTTGGGCAATTGACTTGTAAAACAAGTGTACAGTACATTTTGAACAATCAAAATCACACTTGCACACCTGTTGCACTTGTGTTGTGGAGAAAACAAGAGAGGAAACCAATGAAGATTTCCTACTGCATCAGCTGATGATGCAGCACATCCAATTATTAGATTTTTCTATTTTTGGCCAATAATCAGAGGCCAGAAAACATGCAAGATTGTTCTAGAATTTTCTGGTCAGTTCCACCAGACCAGACAATTCCGAACAGAAACAATAAAAGCTCTAATTAAATTGAATTTCTAAGCAGTCTGTCCTGAACTCTTGAAAGACAATCTACTCCTTCACTTTTCCTGATTTGTGCACAAAACTGTGATTCTTATTTATGCTGTGATCAAATCTTGCAATTAAATTATGTTGAGTGGATTGATTTTGTTTATTCTGTTGAATTCTTAATCTTATTTGACTCTGCTGAAAACATTCAATAAAATGTATTGAAACTAGGAATATATATTCAAGGCAACCCCTTGAATATGTGTTTTTGGCCTCAAAAGGTTGATTGCCTGTGTTTATATTTATTTCTTTTGTGATCTTTGATCATGATGTGAATGCCACCATAATATACTATTTTTAGTTCAAGTCAAACTATTCTTAATACAGTTCCATTTCCTCTTTTGCATTGACTCATCTAGCATGTTATTTTGCTGTTATTTTATGGTGATCACATATGTTCACTTTGGGACTTTATCAAGGAAATTTCCAGCTAAACAAATTAACCATCCCACCAACTGCCTGAGTGGGGAGCTATTTTTGCTGTGACCCCACAGTAGGTGCACACCAGGGTCACAACTGGAGCATATGGGATATTCTGGGGTTACAAGTGTGCACTCCTGTAGAGGAAATTTTCCTACCATTCCAGGGTTACACTTGGTGCACAAATGTGAAATGGCAGGAGCATCACACAAATGCACCAACTGTAACCTTGGTGTAACTTATTTGTTTACAAGTGTGACCCTGAGTAATCCTGGTGTGAACACACAATTGGTGCACATTNTAAAATAAAACATTGGGGATATGCATGTGTAACAGAAGAACTTTGGTACACTTCAGGTGCACAGCAGGGTCACTGTGTAGAATTTTGAACAAATCCCCAGTGTGCACCAATTTCCCCACTCAGGTGCACATCACAAGAATACGCTAGAACCTTGATAACTCGACCCCCCCTCTAATCCAAATACAAGTTGAACTTTCATGAATTCCCTTGCAAACAATGCTTTCTAAAAACCTCCCTAGCTCCAAAACTGTCCCTCTCAAACCTTGTCCATTAATCAAATAACAGGTGAACCTCAAAAACTCAAACCTCCCCAAGTCAAATACCCCCCTAAGTCAAACTTTTTTTTAGATCCCCTCAGAAACAATACATAAAGAAGCCTTCCTAAGTCAGGCTTTTCCCCTTAAGCCTCTGTAAGTTGAATTTTCTGTGGCATATTGGCTATGATACTCTTGAAACAAGAAATAAAAAAGCAATACAATTAAAAATTGATGTGTCTGAAAAGGAATTGAAAGACTTAATTGGGCAAATGAACCCCTGCCTACAAGTTCAGCATCCTTTCAAATCATTCAAGATGCAATTTAAGCCCCAGAATAACACCATTTACAATTTTGGGCTTTTTTATGTTTTTCAGAACAAAAGAGCTATATGTTGTGTATAGCTCAAACCTCTGTACTGTACAGTAATTGCAAACCTCCCTAAATCAAATTTTCTGCTGGTCCCTTGAAATTCAAATTAGAGAGGTTCAACTGTATTAGGAGACCTTTTGGCAGTTATGCTGCTATTAGCACTGGAAAGAGAAAATCAAGAAAAATTTAACGTAACGAGTTTTGGGTGAAAGATTATAAATTACGGGCAAATCAACTCTTCTCTCAACATTCAGCATCTCCTCAACACATTCATGAGGCAATTTAAGGCCCAGAATTTCACGAGGAATTACATTTCTCTGTTATTATATTTTTTCTTCCCTAACAAAAAAAGTTGTTTCCCTCACTCGAATTTTTGGCGGGTCACTGAAGTTCGACCAGCATATTGAAGTTCAACAAGTCAACAGATTTATTTTACGCCATGGTTAAAGGAATTGATGGCTGTTCCGCATGATATATATATGACGTCGCATTACAATATATACTCATGCGTGTTTCTATACACAGTACACTCCTCAGATAAACAGACTTGATACGGGAAATAACACTGTCACTGTAATTTATACCTTTAATCCATTCCGAATGTCAATATATTAGTTACATCACTTCTGAAACTACACACGCACAGAAGAAGGAATTTCATAAATGGCTACAATAAATGCCACAGTTCCCGACAAATGTTGTCCTACGAGGAACACATCTTGTATAAAATGGAATAGCACTCAAAAATCTCACGGCAGAAAAACGCTGGTTCTCCCTGTCAACGGAACAAAGAAGAGCTCTTGGGCATTTTCTCGAATTGAAAGCCTAAAAATGTTTGGTCAAGGTTTGTTTGGATCACGAATCACATGAATCAATCAACGCCTACGAATCGAACGAAATTCCGGTGCAATGTCAGCAGAATTGGCTTCCATTTTTGACGCATGGAACAAAATTACATCTTACAAGTGATGCCGTTCTGTCATACATTGAATTAATTTCAATTATACATTCAGAATTTTAGGAAGCGGCAATGGCCAATATTCGTCCATATCAACCGTGGCACCACTGAACTGCAGCGTGTATATACAGGAAAGCACAATAAGAGCAAAAATGATTGACTCGTTCATCATCACTCACCATCGTATCCCGGGAGCGGCATGCCCGACACATCCTTGGGAGGATTCAAACTGTTATTGAACCCCACACAAGTCGCCGTGATGGGGTGTCCAGTTTCCGTTTGCCACCAATTATCCAACACGGGCACCTTGAATTCCTTCTGAGCCCATTCCCGGGTTTCATAATCGCAGTGTTCCCCAGCGACGAAGACGTATCTCAGGCTTTCCCGCGAGAACTTGGCCGAGAGTCGACCCTGGGGGTCTTCAGCCTTGATGGCTCTCAGTGCGGTGGGAGCAGTGAACATCCCGTTCACTTGCCTATCCTGGATGACGCGGAAGAACTGGGACGCGTCCGGGGTTCCCACGGGTTTGCCCTCGTAGATTATGGTTGAGATCCCGGCTAAAAGAGGGCCGTAGCATATGAAACTGTGACCGACGACCCAGCCGAGGTCAGACGCGGCCCACCACACCTCCTGAGGTTTCATGCCTGAAAAGTAAAGTCAAATGCACACCCTGTATTTCTTGAGAATAAGTCACAACATTCAACAGAGTACCGTTTGTCAAATATCTCAGCATAGAAAAATCGTATTTAATCGAGGTGACACGCGCACATTTTCTTTCTGAAAATCTATGCAAAAAAAAAAAAAGAGCTGCGCTCTGCAGTTTTATCACAGGATCATGAGTCACAGGATCTGCAGTTTTATCACAAGTATAAAAAGCAAAAATTATACAATTACTCAGCTCATCAACAAGGACCGGTACATTTAATTGGCCTTGTTTGATTGTTTCCTATTACCAACTTCATTTTAATCTAGGATTAAAAAATACATTCATATAAAAAATAAGTACTGTACATTAATATTAAATACATAAAATACATTAATATTAAATACATAAAATGCATTAATATTAAATACATAAAATACATTTATATTAGGTACATAAAATATATTAATATTAAATACATAAAATACATTAATATTAAATACATAAAATACATTAATATTAAATACATCAAATACATTAATATTAAATACATAAAATACATTGATATTAAATACATAAAATAAATCAATATTAAATACATAAAATGCATTAATATTAAATACATAAAATACATTAATATTAAATACATAAAATACATTAATAATAAATACATAAAATACATTAATATTGAAATGCATTAATAGTATATTGTACAAGCATATTTTAATATCGGATTTATCTAACACAAAAACTGGGATGTGTGTTTTGTTCAGGAATACATTTTTGCCCAAAATTTCCTTCACAAATAAAAGTTGCATGTCTTAACGCAAGGACGTTTTGTACTTGAATGAATATGGTACTGTAGATGGGACTCATGGACTTGAGATTACAATATACAGTACCGTATGCCAGTGGGAATTAGTTGCTGAACCAAAGATGTCCACAACAGTGTACAGTATTTTAAAATGTGAAAATAGGAACACACTGGGTCAGATATAAATTCAAGAAATTTCTAAAACAATGTTCAAGTGTATCACCAATTGAGGCAGAATTAAAAAAAATTGAAATTGTATACTGTCAAAACTCACCAACCTTCAAGCCGTATACAGTACAGTATATATGTTTTGGGCTGTGATGATGCATTAAACTTCCCATGCATGTAAATAAACAAAAAGAGAATAATAAAAAGTGGGTCCCCAGCATCTTGAAACATAATGCCAGCCCAATGAAAAGGTTGCCAACATTATTTTTTTGGGTGAGGAAAATATGACTCAAATGAGAAATTTGTTACCCTGAACTCACTTTTTCAACCAAAATTACGCATGATACATTTCATCAAGTTTTGAGTTTCTATGTTGGAAAAAAGGTCATCAATTCAGAAGGTATAGAGAGCTCAATATTTTTAGGATTATGCTCCTCTATTTTGATTTTATAAAATTAACAATTTTTTAAACTTCAGTAACTGCCTAAAATACTGTACACAGGTTTTCAGAGTTATTATTAATTCTGTTTCTGTGTGTCCCTAAAAAACGTATTGATATACAGTGAGACCCCCACATGCAGACACCTTGACATGCAGGATATTTGACATAAAGACACATATTTTCCCAAAGAAAATTAATAAAAAAAGGCATGACACATGGACACTGACTCAACATATGGACATTGCTGTGATAAAATTGCTAATAAGTTTCAGGCCAAATTACAAGAAACAGATACATCCAACCCTAAAATTGATGTAAGAAAAGTTCTTTGGCATTTCTCTCATTAATTTACCATCCATTCAGCTAATTTTAAAAAATCAACTCCAACATAGAGGGACTTCCTTCTCTCTTTCTCACCTGACTGTTTTTTTTTATGGAGAATGCCAACATTTCTTTGCACTTTTCAGAGGTATCAGTATTCATTTCTACAAATGTACATATTGTGTTGAAAGATATTGATTGAATCAGTTTCAATTGGGAGAAAATTTTTTTAATGGAATTACAGCATGATGAGTTTTTTGTCCATGAAACACCAATTAAAAATTATATAATGTAAGTCTGAGGGAAAATGAGGCTCAACTTTAGGGACACTCATGATGCACCAATTATGTCCACATCTCATGCAGGGCCTCACTGCAGAACCAATTACTGTAATACTGTACATAGATACTGCATTTTTTAAATTAAGACTCAGGGGTGATCATGTTTTACATGACATGAATGACCCTGAAGCCAGTCCGTGTTCTTTTGCACTCATCTATATGAGGACCCAGCACTACATGGTATGCATACATACATACATACCATATACTTTGTCCATGGTCCACGGCAGTACCACAGCATGGCCCCCAGACGGCCTCACGATGCCCTTGGGCTGCCCAGTCGTCCCCGAGGTGTACAACACGTACAGCGGGTCATTCGCATCCACGGGGACACACGGTTGCGACACGGCACTCTCCATGCCTCGGTCCCAGTCCACGTCCCTGCCATTCATCATTTCCGCGGGCTCAAACTGGGGTCTGTTGAAAATCACAGCGTGTTTGATATCGCATCCCGGACACAACCCGATGGCCTCGTCGACGACTCTCTTGAAGTTGAGGATCTTGTTCCGTTCCACACTCGCGTTCACGCCGACTATGATCTTGGGCTTGGCGTGCTCGAGTCTCACGGCGAGTTCTCGGGCCGAGTAGCCGCCGAATACGACGGAATGCACGGCGCCGATCCGGGCACAAGCCAGCATGGCGATCACGGCTTCGGGGATCATGGGCATGTAGATGATGACACGGTCGCCCTTTGTGGTTCCGAGGCCCGTGAGAACGCCGGCAAAACGGGATACCTGTCATGGTCAGGGAAAAATTGCAACAAGAATCAATATACTGTACAGTATTGTATACAGCTGAACCACCGTACTAAGTCAAATTAAAAATTAATTTTAAAAAATTCTGAAAAAAATATATCTTGACTCAGTATATATATATATGGAGTTTTTGAGTGGGAGAATATGGCCTAAATACAGTGAGACCCCCCACATGTGGACACGTCAACATGTGGACAATTTGACATAGGGACATTTATTTTTTTAATAAAAAAGGCCCCAAATATTGACACTGACTCAACATGAGGACATTGCATGATAAAATTGCCAATACATTTGAGGGACATTGACTTTCATCAGGCTCAATTGCTAGAAACAGATATTTCCAACCCAAAGATCTATGCAAGAAAAATTCTTTATCATTTCTCCCATCATTTTCTCACCCATTAAGCAAATAAAAAAACCTATTGTATAGAATGAAGAGGGACTTCCTCCTCTCTTTGTGACTTGAATGTTATTTTTACAGATACCAATATTTCAATGAACTGCACAGCAGTATACTATTCAATGCTCCAATGTTCTTATTGGGTTGAAAAGATATTCACTGAATCAAATTTAAGTGGCAAACAATTTTTTTCATGGAATTCTGAAGAATGTTCAATGATGTAATTCTGTGGGAAAACAAGTCTTGACTTAGGGACATTTCAATCTAGGGACACTCTTGATGCACCTATTAAGTTTAAATCTGGGGGTCTCACTGTATATAAAGGTGACACAACCTTAGATGTTTTTGGAGTATGTGTGATTGTAAAAAGAAACAAAATTAGATAAATCGCCATTACCCAGTGTTCTAAGGTTCTGGGATTTCTTTTGGATCTAAAAAAAAAGTTTTTAAATTTACTGCACGATGACTGAATGAAAACTTTTGAGCAATACAGCCAGGGCGCTTAAAATTTGGAAGACTGGCCAGCATAAATTGAACTTTTTGTTAATTTTTATAACCATTAGCTGAAATGTGGACTTTTGCCCAATTTTGTTAAGCCGTCACAGAAAGTCAGTACAGTATATACAGTAGAGCAAAGTTCCTCAATCTTTTTGTTCACTTGGACCTGCAAATTTCCAAGAAATTTTTTGCAGACCAGAAAATTCCCTGAACAATTGATGAAGAGCAGTAAATTCCCAAAAAAAATTTAAACTCAAGAAAGTTTCTGTATTTTTGCAAAACTTTAGTTAAGAACCAATGAAGCAGCTATAGTGGAATGTCCTCAAAAATTTTGAAACATGGGCTTGAAGAACGGTTTGCTGAATGAAAAATTAAAATAACTAATTTCAGAACATGAAAATTGTTGCAGTAGTTGATATTAAGAAAAAAGCAAACTTTTAAGTTTTCATCAGATATTTAAAACTGTTATCAGTCTTCCCAAAATTTCAACTGAAAATAAGACTGCTGCTACTTTTTATAAATCTATGGTTCAAGAAAATTTCCTTTGGACCGACAAAAAAACTTCTGCGGACCGCTGGGGAACACTGAGTAGAGCACTGTATAAGTAGGTCACATGTTACTTAATTATATGCATACTTGGTCCTTCAGTTCAGCCCATGTGAGTTGAGAGCTTTTTCCAGTTACTGGGCTTTCGTGGAAAATGGCCACGTTGTCCTTGTAGTCGCTTTCCGCGTGACGATCCACTGCATTGTAGCAAACGTTTAGTGTGCCACCAACAAACCTGAAATACATCATGGAGGACAAGAATTTCAAAGATTTTAGCAGGGATCCAACTTACCAATACTTTAGTATTTGAGGCATCATTTGGAACAGAAAGAACCTCTATCCAAGGGCTGTCCCATTCCTACGCGACCTCTGATATTTTTGAAGTAGGTTTTATTGTGAAAACATTTTTTTGAATCATCAAACAGCTCATGATGTTCTAAGGTTCTGGGATTTTTTTTAAAGATTGAAAAAAAGTTGCATCATGATGAATGAAATCTTTTCAGCAGTTACAGCCCAAGTTCTTCACTCATGTTCCAGGGTGGTAAAATTGATCAGGTAAGCTAAAACATTGAAATTTTTATTGTTTTACCCATTATCTTTTGTACATGTTGGATAGTACTTAAAATAAGAAAAAAATCATCTTTCTGACAAATAACATTGGAATAGTTTGCTGTTTTACCCATCATCTTTTGTACCTTTGAGATAATAAAAGTTACAAAGCATCATTTTTAGTTAACCTTGCAGGGTGCTAAATTTTGTTTATTTTTTCAAACAAAATTTTGGCAGCCTGCAAAAATTGAGGGGAGAACTCTGGATGCTGGGAGAACTTCATAAAACGGTGCACAACATAAAAGATTTCAAACAGATGAAAAATGAATGAAACCAAGACTTCATTCCAAGCCATAATTGAAATTGGACCACACTCACAAACATGAAATTTCCTCAAGGAAACAGAAGTGTGGCGGAATAATTGGATCACCAATTATACAATGAATTTCTAATTATCTAGAATGCTCTGGAATTAATGAATTGGGCCTTCATTTAAATTGCATCAAAATCTTGTAGTACGGTAGATAAATTCGAAAATTCACTTCAACATTTAAAAATTATACAGACTCACCAGCGATTAAACGGAGGATTGGAGGAATCTAAAACTTTGTCCCATTTCCGCATCCAATCAATGTTTCCAGCGGCTTCGGCCCAATATTCCTCTGGGAAATTGATGGATTTCAAATAATGATCCCGGTACGTTTTCGAAAAATAGTCATCGTCTTCGGAGGAAAATATATTCGACGACTTCTGAGTTCCTGGTTTGAAGATAAAATAAAAAAACACCTTCCTCTTCACACCGAAACAAAATATTTCCAGTCTCTTTCCACTCACCTGGCAGATTAGACTGTAACCGAACACCTGTCAAAGTCTTCCTATTATTCCTCACAACAGGAACTAGCATGAAACGAAAACTCGCGGTCTGGCGAAGGCAACTGCGCCACATATTGAATGTGATGGTGTCAATCTTCCGTAATGTGCAACACAGCCTATGAAAAAAACAACAACAAAAACAATTTGGAATCACTGTTCCCCCCAACTGAATCGAACACACGTGCAACAACCGTGAACTCTGATCTACATCTTAGAAGGATGGTTTCAGGGCACAACGGGAGATGCTGGACACAACAACGACCCCCCTTTTTCCCCCCTTCCCCAAATTTTTCACAGAAAGGGGGAAAAACAGGGGTTTCACAAGGAAAAAGAAGGAAAGGAAGAGAGGTTTCAGCTGAGAGCTGTAGGCGGGAGTCAAGGCCATTGCTCCTTCTTCTCCCCCCCCCTCACCTTCCCCCAAGGACACTTCAAACTGGTGTTCACAGATTTAATTCAGTTAAAAAGTGAGACCGGGAGATGCAGACTTGATTGGTCCATGGAGAGTGTCCCCAAGTCAAAATGTCCTTAAGTTGAGTTTGTTTTCCCATAGACTTACATGATATACTTTTTATTTGGTGTTTTGTGGAAGAAAGATTCTTCAGAATTCCCTGAAAAAAAATGTTTGCCACTTGAATTTGAATTAGTGAATACATTTTCAACTCAATAAGAACTTTTGGAGCATTGAATAGCGCATCTCTGTACTGTACACTGAAATTTTGGCATCTACAAAAATAACATTCAAGTGAAAAAAAAGTAGGAGTCCTCTATGCTGGAGGTAATTTTTTAAATTTGTTAAATGGATGGTAATTTGGTGAGAGAAATGCCCAAGAACTTTTCTTACATCAATTTTAGGGTTGGAAATATCTGTTTCTTGTGATTTGGCCTGAAATTTATTTGCAAATTTATCACAAAATGTCCCTATGTTGAGTCAGTGTCCTCATGTTGGGCCTTATATATTGATTTTTCTGGGAAAATAAGTGTCCCTGTGTCAAATTGTCCGTGGGTTTAGGTGTCTACATGTGGGGGTTCACAGTAATTATGTATTGTGAATCATTCATTTTAAAGTTGGACAATTTACAACTGAAAAGAAAGAACACCGTTTTCTTCTCCCTCAGGAAATAAGATTGTTTCACGGGTACCTTGAGACCCCAAGATGTGGACATAATTGGTGCATAAAGAGTGTCCTGATGTGAGAATTTTCCCTAAGTCAAGTCTCATTTTCTCTTAGGCTTCAATGCTAATATATTTAATTGGTTCTCATTTTTGTCAAAAAATGAGAAATAAGACCTCAAAAAATTTAATGCAAATTGTTTCCCTCATCAAATTCGAGTCGTATAAAAAACAATAGTGCAGAACAAAACCACATAAAATCTGAACTTTTGGTGTCAAAAGATCAAAAAGCAAAGTCTTGCTTGAATATGCACAAATAATAGAAAAAACAACTCCAAAAAAAGAAGCACAAAATCAGCTTGCTTCTGATCATGAATCAGAGTGAATTTATCATGACATTTATTCATTTTTATTTTATTATTATTTTTATATAATTAGCTTGATTTGTTCAAAAGATATCAAAATTAAAAACGATTAAAATGTTACAATTTTTGGGGCAAATTTCAGAAAAATGTTCCTAACTAAAGCCATATCCGGATCTTGGGCCGGCATTTTTTTTGGCCAATCCTAATCTTGAGACTTCAGCCAATCACGCTTAAAACTTGATAAATTCTAGGCTTTCCGTCTTCTCGAACGCGTCACGCTTGTAAAAAAATAAAAATAATAATAAATAAATGAAAATTCTCTCCACACAGGTTGAGAACGGAAGACCAAGTCTCTCTCTTTCTCTCTCCCATACCATTCCACCACATTCCACAAACAAAGAAAAGAGCCCCGGTGACCTTTGCTATCCACCCGATCAGCACAGATTCCTGTAGTACAGCACCTCCAAAACGCAAAAGGAATTTACCAGGACCTTCTCAGGAAATTTTGCACGCCGATTCCAAGACGCATACTATTGCGGTCTTGAATTAAGGAAATCATTTACCATTTTTCACACGCATGGTTCGACTTACTTTTTCCTATGCATCAGGCTGCCATCATTGAAATGATAAACAACCGAAGAACAAAAATACACAGGTCAGTTGGGAAGCTGAAATACAGCAGTATCATTTTTCATAACTTACTCATATCATTACAACAATTGTACCTTTAATTTAAAAAAAAACCTTGAAGGTCCCTTGTAGAGTATAACTAAAATGATATTTTGAATTTTGTCTCAACAGAGATTTTTCGAAGTCTCAAAAGCTTTGTTGTCAGAGATGTATAGTGTATTAATTTAAAAAGACAACATTTAAAAAGAAAAATCCTAGTTCTCAAGCATCTTGCATACATTTTTGAATTCCAAAAAGAATACTTCCTTGACACTTGAAAAAAAAAACGAAAAATTCCAGAAATAATTGTGGAGGCAATTATTAAGAATGTTCTTAGTTGATGTAAAAGTAGCTCAACAATGGCTTTTGGATAAATGTCATGTCACCAGCACGCAGCCCTTTCAACTGACCATTCTCAATGAGAAACAAAAGTGTAAAAACGGGTAACACATAACCGAAACACTCACACAAGCTTACACCTAGCCTGAATTTAACGTGTAAAATAATTTGGCAGACTCAAATGACATAAAGAAAACATAGAAAGTAATCAGTTATATTTCCAGAGCTCAATGGAAACCATCAATATTTTTATTGTTTTACCCATTATCTTTTGTACATGTTGGATAGTACTTAAAATAAGAAAAAAATCATCTTTCTGACAAATAACATTGGAATAGTTTGCTGTTTTACCCATCATCTTTTGTACCTTTGAAATAATAAAAGTTACAAAGCATCCTTTTTAGTTAACCTTGCAGAGTGCCAAATTTTGTTTATTTTTTCAAACAAAATTTTGGCACCCTGCAAAAATTGAGGGGAGAACTTCATAAAACGGTGCACAACATAAAAGGTTTCAAACAGATGAAAAATGAATGAAACCAAGACTTCATTCCAAGCCATAATTGAAATTGGACCACACTAACAAACATGAAATTTCCTCAAGGAAACAGAAGTGTGGCGGAATAATTGGAGCACCAATTATACAATGAATTTCTGATTATCTAGAATGCTCTGGAATTAATGAATTGGGCCTTCATTTAAATTGCATCAAAATCTTGTAGTACGGTATATAAATTCGAAAATTCACTTCAACATTTAAAAATTATACAGACTCACCAGCGATTAAACGGAGGATTGGAGGAGTCTAAAACTTTGTCCCATTTCCGCATCCAATCAATGTTTCCAGCGGCTTCGGCCCAATATTCCTCCGGGAAATTGATGGATTTCAAATAATGATCCCGGTACGTTTTCGAAAAATAGTCATCGTCTTCGGAGGAAAATATATTCGACGACTTCTGAGTTCCTGGTTTGAAGATAAAATAAAAAACACCTTCCTCTTCACACCGAAACAAAATATTTCCAGTCTCTTTCCACTCACCTGGCAGATTAGACTGTAACCGAACACCTGTCAAAGTCTTCCTATTATTCCTCACAACAGGAACTAGCAT